ACACACACACACACACAACCAGTAGGTACAAAGACAGATACAGCAGCCAATCAGTTCTAGACTAAGCTGAAGCCACATTGCCCCCTGTTGGTTGATAGAAGAATATTTCCTCTTAATGTCAAACGTATTAAAATCCTTTATAAAAATTATTAATTCCTCCACTCGAGTAAAAGTAAACAAGGATTTGTATTAAAATGTTTACATATGTATATATAAGTGCCAAAGTGATTCTCCTCATTATGAAGAACGGTTCCAGTCAGTGTTATTATTTGGTAATCCAGTAGTAATACTGTAGCTGATCCAGGTGGAGCTGAATCTTCTTCTTTCTTTTTCTTCTCTTTGGTATATCAAAGATGAATTCATAATATGTCCAAGCCCATTCAGTATTTATTTATAATGGCTAAATCTTTATCTTGGAAGTAAAAGTATAGAACAGTATAATTAATCTTATAATTTAATAAGAAGTGCAATATTCTGGAATCTGAAATGTAGTAAAAAAGCATAAAATGTAAATATTAACAATAAAGTAAAAACATCTCAAAATTGGTTTTATGTTCAGAACTTAAATGTGGTTACTTTCCATTATTTTCTGGTTTTATGTTTTGTTTTTACTGTTTTATTAAATATCATGCCTTCCACTATAAGGGTTTTATGGAGAGTCAGAGCAGCAGCAGATCCCAGTCGGTCCAGCAGTCGGATCTTCACATCTTCTGCTATGGGATGCATCCCATAACAAGCTCACACTGGCTGCAAAAGTGTTGCATTTTTACATTTGACACCGTTTTGTGTTAATTATTACATTTGAGCCAACAACTTAAGCCCCTGTGTAATCAAAAATAAAGAAGTTAAACATTCACAAGGTGTATCTCAATTGTTTGACTCAAACAACACCGGCAAACGGACGACTAAGAAACCAGTATACGGCCAAAAGTATGCAGACAGTTGAATTTTACACCCCTATACTATTACTGAACCTGTCATTCCCAAACCGTGAGGATTAATCTGCTGCTATAACCACTCTTCCTCCACTCTTCTGCTTTTAAGCTTTACACCACATTTCTGAACCAGCAGGAATTTGCTCCCGTTCAGCCACAAGAGCATCAGTGAGGTCCAGCACTGATGTTTGGTGATGAGGTCTGGCTTAGTGTCCCAGTTTATCCCCAAGGTATTGGATAAGGTTGAGGTCAGGGCTCTGTGCAGGCCAGTCAAGATCAGGTCTTCCCTGAACTGTAGCCACAAAGCTGGAAGCACACTAATGTCTAAAATATCACTGTATGCTGTAGCATTAAGATTTCCCTCCATTTCTTTTGCAAGGCAGTAAGAGAAGACAGAAATGAATAGATTGACTGGAGACAGAAATACAGACGGACGGAAGAGGCCACATCCAGTCAGGATGTCTGAGTCATGCTGGCTCCATCTCGACTGGTATTGATTATTCATTTCTCTCTGACTGTGCACATGTGGGAGAGTGAAGCTGCAAGAGAAGGAAGAGAGAAAGAAAGCCAAGCTATTATCCATTGTGTCCACTAACATCTGAACTCATGACACCGGTCAATGAAAGCACATATTTCACAAACCTGTGTGTGCATGTGTGTGTCCATTTGTGTTATTTGTCACAGACTGGCTCAGGGAATGTGACAAGTGGAGTCCATGCAAGAGATTTACTTAAAACAAGAGTAATGTATTAAACCGAAGGCAAATCATAAGACAAGGCAAAAGACAGTGATGTATGGTTGCCAGCTGTAGGAAAGGAGGGAGTGTGTCCAGGTGTGTGTCAGCTGACGACCCTCCCATGTCACCCTATTACCCGCTGAGGTTGGCCAGGACCGTGGAGGGGCGTCACAACAGGTATGAACAGTACATGCAATATTTTGTTGGCTGTTCTAGCCTAATCACCTAATTCCCAAACGGATTAGTTAAGTTCTTCTGTTCCATTTAGTGTAGCAGAGCCTTTCAGTGAGCCAACATGTTTAACCAGAATGGAACTGAACCTTCATTAGTATAATTGGTAACACCTGTGTTAACCCTACTATTTCACGTCAAAATGGCTGCTGGGATCACTGAAGTCATTCGGATTCATCCTCTGGGGACCTTGTCCCAAATCTCATGGGAATCGAGCAGTTATTGAGATATTTCAGGACCAGTTGGTGGGCCGACCAGCACTGCCCAGACTGGCACCCACTGTCCTAGACACAGTGACAAAAGCGTCACCTCTTTATCTTGTTTCCTGAGTGTTGAAGAAGCTCAGGTTTTCCCCAGGCATCGCCACCGAGCTTAATAATGGAAGTTATCTTAAAGTTATCCGAGTGAGGATTCATCTGGGAGGAGAGAGAGCCAGTGCTTTAGTTTTAGAGACAGGATGAAAAACACTTCTGTGAGTCTGACTGTTAGAGATACAGTAGAGTGTGTTGTGGGCCCCAGAGGGAAAAGTGGAAATGACTTTGTCTTTGACAGCAAAGTGCTGTTGAACAGCCCCAGGCTTCTTCCTTTCCCCGTCTGTCTGCTCCACTCTCTCTCTCTCTCGTTCATTCATCTCCTGTTTCAGTTCACTGATGTTACACATCAGAGGAGAATAAGAAAGCAGCATGATTAAGAAAACTGGCAAAACAATAAACAGGAAGGGATAAAGAAAAGGATGCAGCAAAACAAAAACCCTAATAGTAGAGAAAATACTTCACTGGTTTCATATCAAGCATCTTTTATTAATTAAAGATGTTTGGATTGATTGTAGTCTGTCACCAGTGCAAGACAGGGTTATACTGGGCAGCTCCCAGTTTGGATAATATCCCACATTGTTTTTCTGGTTAACTGAAGAATAAAAAATGCCATTAAATGACAGTCACATCTTTTTAATCCCACTAATACTAGAGTGAGAACTAAATGGCATTGAAACTACAATTCAAATCTAAACATGTAAAAGAAACTGAATGTTTTAAACAAACTTACCCCACCACCTTTAACATCATGCTTCCTTTTCACCAAATGATCTCAGCAATGCTTAAAAAGGGCTTCTCCACCAATTTTAAATATGAAAGTTAGTTTACCAGTCATGGTCAGTGTCACTAACCCTATTGGTTGCATTATGGGTAACGTGGAATACAATGTTGTTAGAGCTTGACCCATAGGTACTAAAAGTCTCTTGTGAGCACATCAACATCGAAGTGCAGTATTAACACTGGAGGGCCCTTATTGGGTTGTGTGGATGTGTAAAAAACCACAACAAAAAAGAAGCAGGGAGCAGCGCCCTCTTCTGGCTCTGCTTTCCTAGTACCAATGTTAGTATTTTAACATTTTTAAATTATTCCAGTGTTTTCAGTCATATTCAACATTTCCAACAACTTTCTTTTGCTTTTTGTGCACCTGTCTACACTTAATTCAACCGTTTGCGTTTAAACTACGCCTACAGCAGCAGAACTGTAATTTCAACATGAGATCATCCTTTTAAAGTAAATTAGTGTTGTAACATTTCTTCTTCTTCTTCTTGAATAGTCATGTCCGTATCAGTGTTAAAACAAGCAGCGTAGTATATTGCAGTACTGATGGCGTCTAAACAGTTTTTTCTATATTTAAAGGGGAAAATTAAAAGTTTAACGGGTTTTTAAGGTTTTAGAATTTTTAAGAATACCACTATAGTGACCAATAATGTCCTCAGGAACAAGACTAGTATGTTTTTTAAAGTAACATTACCATAATAAGCCACTGGGAATGTTGGGGGAACAGTCTGGGAGCCAAACGCTGATTACTAGGTCTCTTCTTCTCTCTTCCTTCCTTCACACCCCAAACTCTCTCCGTCTCTCTCACTAATTACTACAACCTGTCAGACTCTCCCGGTTGCTGTGGCGACCGGCGGTCGTCATGGCAACCCCAGTGGTCTGTCTGGCTCAGTGAGGGAGGTGGTGGGGGTGTTATCAGGCAGGAAGGTGAGATAAGAGAGTTAATTTCTCCTTTAGTAGATAAAAGAGTAGCTGGTCGCTGCTAGTGAAACGTGTAAACCACAGGAAAACAGTGGTGACATGAAAAGACCAAGACTTGCTCTGTATATACAGTATGTATGGATATCGGAAAATGTGCTGTTGTGGATATTTCTGTCAATATGTTGTTTGACTGCTGTTGCTGTTGTTTTTTTATGTTTACACAAAAATCAACAATAAGCAGAAAAATATGGTTGCATGAGGATGTATTAAGCTTACTGATATTCTGTTTTCTCTATAGTTATTTGAAATGAGCATTGGTTTTATCTTCAGGTTAGGATCATGATTTGAATAGTTTATCAACAGGGAACCTTAAAAGTGTTAAAAATGGCCTCTGCTTTCAGTTTCTCTATAGTGAGATTTGCTGCCTTCCTCTGTTTCTCAGCCATCTTTAGGTGTTTTGACTAAAAGACACCGCTTCGGGCTCTCGGAACCCATGATCATTTTATTTAACAAATGCACTGAATTGCCAAGAAATTTGACAGTGCACAGAATCATTTGTTGCAGCTCCAATTCTGCAAAACTTGTAGTGAAATGATCCGATTTGATTTACTGTATAAATAAAAGGGTCACAGTCTAGCATAACATTTCCTTGTAATTAAGTAAAATAGTTGCGAAAATAATTCTAAGTTATTATCTAGAAAATATAGTGTATAATGTTTTAACTTTGAAAGTCAGAGGACTTTCATCTGCTTGGTTGTAAAACCTAAAAAAGCAAGGCTGCAATCATATTTCTAGTCTCATTCTGTATATCTTATAGCAGAGCAGTTCCTAATTGTTCAACAAGATGAGTGTAAAGCACAGACTGTGTTTTAGCCAATGTTAAGTCTTAAACTACTACTGCCGCTTATTTATTTCATTCCCATCTTGATTGTTTGATTTTCAGACCCCTAATCTAGTGTGAATTAGTAAAGAAAGCTCTGCCAAAATTAGTGACTGAAGAAAACGTTCAAATTCAGTCCTCCAGTGTGACCTTATTGCAATTTTTATTAACATCAGCCCTCGTGTTAAAAGATATGTCTACATTTCTGTGAGAACAAACAAATACACATTTTAATTTCTTTAAAATCACTGACTGCAAATGAACATTGTACACTGACAACCGGATCTGACGAATCATCAAAAAGAAATAGGTGGGTGTTTGATAGTCAGGAGCCAATCAGAAATGCCCCCCAACCTCATCGACACCCGCACTCGTCCACCACCATGTCCTGGTAGTGTCGAAGCACCACGTTGTCGTTGTTGTCGTAGTAGAGCATGGAGATTGGGGAGAGGCGGATGGGGACGCAGCAGGGCTGCGGTGTGCCGTGCGGGTCCAGGGAGTGCACCAGGGTCTGCAGGATGGCGTGGTTGGTGCCGTTCAGACTCTCACTGAGCGGGAACGGGCACTCGCCGTGGCAGTAGTTGGCCATGTAGCCCTGCGGTGCGATGATCCAGTCCTGCCAGCCCACGTCCTTGAAGTCAATATAGAGGCGGCGGGCCTTGCACACGTTGCTGGGTGTCACAGGGAGGTGGATGGCGCTCCTTCTCTGTCTGGAGCGACACTGGTGGGGGTTGAGGGACACGGCCACCAGCGAGGCCTGGATCAGCGGCAGCGTGAGGGCTGGTTCCAATGGGAGCGAGTTCCCGGGGTGAAAAAGGAGAAGCTCTTCTGAATCCACGCTGAGAGGCAGCAGCTCCAGAACCAAACCGTAGTTGCGTCCCGGTTTGCGCCAGCTCTCTGCCAGCGAGGTGAGGTCCATGGTGATGGAGGTGGGTTCGGGCTGCAGCCGGACTGACTGGGACAGCAGGAGTCTGCGGTTGGCCTGGGGATTGGCTCCCCTCAGCGTGGCTCGAATCACTTTATACAGAGACACGCTGAGGGCCCGGGGCCCCTGCAGGAGCTCTGAAGATCTGAGATTCCAGTGGAACTTGATTTCCAGCTGAGCCAGAGACAGCAGCTCCACAGGCTGGAGGACGGACATGTTGAAGAAGAGCTGCTTCTCCAGACAGACCTGACAGCTGCTGCTCCAGCCAGACACCAGCCGGCCTGCCAAACATCAGCGGGGAGACGAGCATTTTAAGCAGCACGTTACACGTTACAATCATGGAGAAGAAGAATTTGTCATGACCAGTTACTTCTCTCTCAAACACACACTGTGGCTGCACTCACTCTGCAGTACAGCTGGGTTTTACTGAAGCACACTGGCAGCATGATTTAGTGCACAACAGCAAGAATTTCACTGAGCTGTCATGAGTAGGGATGCACATTATCGGTCAAATAAGGGAAATTAAATTATTGGTTGATAATAATAACACATTTTGAATTATTGTGCAGTGTCTGATAGGCTTTATGTTACATGAAAGCCAAAGTAAACTTTATTGGAAAAAAAATAAATGAACATTTGAAGAGTCCGAACTGTTGTTTGTTGTTGTTGTTGTTGTTGTTAACAATAGTGATGTCAGTTTGTTAGAGCAGAGCTATGGGACATTAAAATCATCCATCACTGCTCACTGCATCTCACCCTCAGGTGTGCATAAACTACAGGTTATGAACTTCTTTTTCAAATACAAAAACGTGAAATTATTCAGCCACAAGAAGCTTTGATTGTTCTGCCATGCTACTGAATAACACATTGATCAATAAACGATAGTGTGTATTCTCTCTTTCTCACGCCTGTGTGCAAATATGAGTCATTACTTCACTTCCTTGACACTATAGGGCCAGGTACACGTTCAACAATTCAAAAGTTAAAAAATAAATTTGATAAAAATGTGCCATTTGTGCTACAGGCCTTAAACCTTAGAATGTTATTGGATGTTATTAAAAGCATCAATCATTTTTTTCTGATTTCTGCTTGAACTTGACAGCACAGCTGGTTGGACTTTCCCAACCACAGTAAATCTATGTTTCCACTGCCTACCTTGGTCTTGCACATATCGGATGATGTTGCCGCGGACTCCGTACTCAGACACCGTACAGGGGTCGCTCTCCTGGGCCTGCATGTTCTCGGACCTCCGGAACATCCTCCAGAGGGCGGAGGGGACGCGGCGCCGGGGCTGGTGGCCCCCTGCAGGCCGGGGCCGCCCGGAGAGCCCCAGGGAGCTGAGGAAGAGCCGCTCCTGGCTCTTCATCTCCTCCACCTCCTCCACATGTGAGAGAGCACACACACCGAGGAAACACGCCGCTAACAGCAGCAGAGGAGCCGTGTTTGGCCTCATGTTTGCTCGGACTCCGGCTGGCTCCTCACCTGAAACGTTGCTCCCGAAGAGCGCGGGACGTTTGTTTTAACCTGTGGAACCTCCCGGTGAGCAGCTGCATCATTATGTTAATGAGGAGCGGGCAGACAGACAGAGATAAGGTGAGGGGCAGGGGGGGCGGGGGGTTAGTGATCTCGGGTCAGGTCAGGTTTCTGATAAACCACAAAAAAAACTCGGATATGGAGTTCACCTGTTTTAACATTGTCGATTGAATAATGTGTTTGTGAATACTTATTTTGATCTATCCTAAAGTTCATTGGCCCCGCTCTATAATGTCCCCAACTTGCCCCTTAAAGGTGCAATCAGTATTTTCTCACCATTTGAATGTGAGGTTCAGTAGTTTGAGCAGAAGATGGAAAAATGAAAATAGAAAGTTGTTTGACTGATTAAAGGGTTACTTCATCCAAATAATAAATGACTAACATTTTGAAATGAATGAATGAATACTCTGTGTCCTGAGGAGATCTTCAGTCCAACAGCACAGTGGCCGTGACCTCAGTTTCCTTTTTTGGTGGTCAGAAGAACAGATATTCTATTTAATGATATCAAAAGCATCGATACAGATACGGTTGTGGTTAGTCAGCGTAGTCTTAGGACCTCGCTATGAACTGAGACTGCTGTCTAACAAAGGAATGAAGACTCTGATAACATCCAGGTGTTAACGCAGTTAGTGGCACTACTTGAAAGGTCAGGAGAACATCATTATTCATTCTTCCTCCACAAATGCCTTTCCCAAATGTGGTGACTTTTTTTGATTGCCACCACACACAAAAAGAACACAGCAACAACAAGCACTGACTGTCTTACTTGCATTTTCTCCTTTCATTTTTTTTTTTTTAACAGCGCGTCCACGCCATGTTCATCCAACACCGGAGTATCCACGGCACACACGAGATGAGGAGAGTGTAGCTAGAAGTACACAAACCTAACACAACAGAAAAAAAGGCTCAAATATAAATGAGCACCTAGATGAGAGCATGTCAGACTGTTGACTTAGTGTTTATTCACCAATGATCCAGAGCCATTACTGAACAGAGCGGCCACACTGTATCTGCTCCAGCAGTGAGTTTATTACGCCATCTAGTGTCCATTTTAGGTACATTTTTGGCTTATGACACTGTATCATATACCTGGAGGGGACCTTTAAAGTTTTTCTGAATATAAGACACCACCACTTCCACAGTACTCCATTTATTGTTTACGTTTCGTCTTATTTTTTGTCATATATTACATTATGTGGCCAAAAGTCTGAGACCCCTGTCCACATACTAAATACTACAGCATACAGTGATATTTTAGACCATAGTGTTCGTCTGGCTTTTGCCTCGTTCTTCAGCATGATATTCCCACCTCCCCCATGCACAAAGCCAGCTCCGTAAAGAAATGGTTTTCCCAGTTTGCTGTGGAAGAACTTCACTGGCCTGCACAGAGCTCTGACCTCAACACCATCCAACCCCTTTGGGATGAACTGGAACACCGACGGTGAGCCAGGTTTTCATCACCCAGCGTCAGTTTTGAGCCTCACTAATGTTCTTGTGGCTGAAAGGGAGCGAACCCCTGCAGCCGGGTTCAGAATCTGGTTCAAAGCCTGAAACCAGAAGAGTGGAGGCTGTTGTTGACATTACAAACACCATACATCGAGTCAGTTCCAATGATTTTTTAATATAGTTGGCAATCAAAGATGATTTTGATTTGAATCATTATTTACAGATCAGTATGTACAGTGGTCAAAGAAGAGCAGGAGGCTGTAGTTACTGTGTGTGTGTGCGCTGGGGCAGGGGGAGAGTAGGCAGGGAGTGGGG